CATTTGAAATTATGGTAATGAAGGATGTAGAGAGAATAAAGAAAATTAATAAATATTAACATAATCTAACATTAGGAGAAAAAAGGGCCCTTAAAGAAATTAAAAATGATGAAAATGTAATAATAAAACCAGCAGACAAAGGAGGTGGAATAGTGATCCAGAATAAAGAACAGTATGTTATGGAAGTGGAACGAATACTTTCAGATCAGTCTACTTATCAGAAACTCACCTATAACCCTACCCAAAAAATCATTATGACTTTCAAAGAATATATAAAAAAAGGAAATGAGTCAGGAATCCTAAATGAAAAAGAAGCTGATTATATGTTTGTAGAAACCCCTAAAATTCCAGTTTTTTACACTTCACCAAAAATACATAAAAATATTCAAAATCCACCAGGAAGACCCATTATACCAAGTATCGACTCAGTTTCCACTAGAATTTCTGAATACATCGACACCTTACTCCAGCCGATAGTTACGAAGAACCGCTCCTATCTGAATTTCTGAATCCAATTATATTAAACAACAATTTATTGAAAGACACCATTCACTTTTTACAAATCTTAGAAGAGACCAAGTGGGTAGATGGATACCAGATGGTCACATGTGATGTCACCTCACTATATAGTATTATTCCACACGACAAAGGAATAACAGCAGTCAAACATTTTTTAGAACAATCGAATTTTAAGAAAGAACAGGTAAATTTTATTTTAGAATGAATTTTACTTATTTTAACAAACAACTATTTTTGGTTTGATAACAATTTTTATCTCCAAATTTGTGGTACGGCAATGGGCACCAAATTTAATAATTGTATCAGTATTTATATCTATTCCATTTGTTTTTCTACTATAATTTATTTGCAATAATGCCTTCTTTTTATTGTTACAAATGCTTTTAAAAGTCACTTATCTCTTTAGGGGAAAAATCAAAATATAACAGACTTTCAACAATCTGTCCTTCTATTTATCTAAAATGCAGCTTCCTATTATATACATTACTATAATGCCCTTTTATTTTGAAAGTTTATTGGTATCTTACATCTTAATTAATTTTAATAATTGTATCAGTATTTATATCTATTCCATTTGTTTTTCTACTATTATTTATTTGCAATAATGCCTTCTTATTATTGTTACAAATGCTTTTAAAAGTCGCTTATCCCTTTAGGGGAAAAATCAAAATATAACAGACTTTCAACAATCTGTCCTTCTATTTATCTAAAATTCAGCTTCCTATTATATACATTACTAAAAGTTGTCTCATTTGAGAGATAAATAATCCAATATAAAACAATATGATATAAATCTCTTCATTTTTTTATATATAAATTGAAACATTGAGCTTGTATACAATGACTGGACTTTGTAATGTAAGGAAACGTCTCCGAGCGTCACGTGACGCCTGCGTTTTACGGAGTGTGTCACGTGACATCTGCGTTCCACGGATGGAATGCAAAGGCCGGAAGAGGAAGTGATAATGTCACTACAGACACCAGGGATGCCGGAAAAAAAACGCCAAAAGAGAGGATATTTAAACGGATTATCAAGGAACAATAACCAGCAACTGAGGAAGCCTCTAATTGAGGCGAAACGCGTTTTGCACTTTACCACAAAGACTACCTTTGAACTGTAAGGTTTTTTTTTTCACTTTAATGATTTTATGGAATTTTTTGTGCATCTTTGAATAAAGCACTTTATTTTTTGCTACATCTTGAGAGGATACCCTATTATTGGGACACCCAGACCATAGCAAGAAGGGAGTGGGTCCCTTGAGTACCCACAGAGCTTCATCTTTGAGCCTTTTCAGTGGCTCTGTGTTTGTGAGTGCTTTACCATTCATATATTATAATAACATATTGTGTACTGGCAATATTGCACTATTTCTCTTCTTATTTGTGTTCCAATTTAGGGAATTGCTAAAGGACACTATTCTATTGAATCTACCATTGGAAGAACTATTATTTATATACTTCACCTTATATTGTATGCATATTAGATTCAATTGTACCAGATGAGCTGAACTGACATTTGGCAGCCTTAACATATTTGTCTGGGGTGCTTGCACAATATGTAAAATAAAGAGTAAACATATAAGTATAATCAAAAGAGGGAAATAGCAAACTATCTGCAGTCTGAGCTAGGTGTAAATATACTAGGATAGAGACAGGTACATTTCACCCTATGCCTATGCTTGGGAAGAGGAGTTGGGAACAGTGTAAGAGCCTGCTAGCCAGATTAGGACTAGTTATGGAAACCCAGTTGTTTTTCCAGACCACATATTCCCCGCCCCAAGCTGATATCAGAGCTGTGTGCACTGTCCAGCCTTCATGTGCACAGGGTAAAGTCCCGGACAGTCTCATGTGCAGATCTCATCGAAGGCTTTGTGGAAGGCTTCCTCCCATCCGTCATCCATGATGTTCACTCTCCGCTGATCTTGCTGCTGCTGTACAACAAGCTGTTCCTGGAGAGTGTGTTCCTGGAGTGCCACCATCTTAGGAGAGTGCTTCAGTGTTTGCTTGGTGTGAAACTGTCGGCAAGTTTGTCTAGTAGCTGAGACCCAACTGGTGTGGACCGGAATGACCCCCATATCGGTCCACGGGGGGGGGGGGGAGTAACAGGGGAGCCCGCTGATGCCTCTGATGCTCAAGCGGACAGCAGCCGTCTCTCCTGCCTTCAGTGCTCAGGAGGCCTCTCCGTTTAGATTATGCCTGCTCGTCACCACAGCTTCGAGATTGTCAAAATAATGCACCAATGCGTACAGGTGCAGGTAGGTACTCGTTGGGAGCCAAAAAAAATTCACAAACGGGTGATGGAAACACCAGTTTTATAGAGTTATATGGGCAGCTCCTTCTAAACGTGTCTGCTCCTCATGGCTGTCAGGCCCCGCCCCGCTACAGCAGTTTTAAATACCATTATTTTACAATGTTGCCATTTTCTGTGCGCTTCACTGCTTGTAATGCCTTCAGGGTCTTGGAAAATACTTAAAAGCATGATATTTCACCATCTGTATTAATCTATTTTGTCACACCTACTGTGTGTGAAGGAAATTTCATTTTTGCTTTTGTAGTAACATTTCAGATCATTAGTGAAATATTAAACGATAAAGAACACTACATACTGATTTAGGTTTTCATTTCCCTTCATTCAATGCTTTCCTATGGAAAAGTTTGAATGTGCATGCAGAGCTCACCACGCATGTGCATTAGATCCCCAATGCTCCTTTATAAGGAGCATTGTATTAGACAAGGTCAGTGGAGGCCATCCCTGATCTAGATTGACCTGGAACTAGATAAATAAAACTATTTTTTTTCCTTATTTTTCTGGCAAACAGGTGAGGGAATCTATTTAGAGATACAAGTGGGACACTATAGCATTCGGAATACAGGAATAGTATAGCAATAGTGTTTGCTATAGTGTTCCTTTAAGTTTGTCTGGAAAAGCAATCCATGCACAAAATTGCTGTCTAATGAGTCACATGCGTCAAATGCTTTTCGATCCAAAAGTGCTCAGTAGTGAAAGGATTAAGGCCACATTGTCATCTTAAAAGTGCCAGTTACAAAGATATGAAGAAGGTTTTGTGAGTATTTTGATTATTATACTACCAGAGGCAGACTGAGAGCCTTTGGGGCCCCCGGGCAAAATTAGATCTCAGGCCCTTTGAAGGCCAAATATACGTGCATTAAATAAATGTTAAATATAACTCATAATACGGCATTCCTTTGGATGTGTATATTGTGAAGACCTGTGTATCAATGCATGTTTGTATTTGAGTCTGTGTGAATGCACTGCATATGTGACAGGTGACAGAGTGTATGAGGGAGAAGGTGACAGGTGGAAGAGTGTGGGAGGTTGTGACAGGTGGCAGAGTGAGGGGGTACCTGGTGGCAGAGTGAGGGAAGGAGGGGTTGAGTGGTGGCAGAGTGAGGGGGAGACACAGTGAGTGGGGGTGACTGGTGACAGAGTGAGGGAGTGGGTGACTAGTGACAGAGGGAGGGAGAGGGGGTGACTAGTGACAGAGTTAGGGAATGGGTGACTAGTGGCAGAGTGGGGGAGGGAGGGAAGAGATGACTAGTGGCAAAGTGAGGGAGGGAAGAGGTGACTAGTGACAGAGTGAGGGGATGACTGGTGACAGAGGGAGGGAATGACTGGTGACAGAGGGAGGGAATGACTAGTGACAGAGGGAGGGAATGACTAGTGACATAGAAACATAGAAACATAGAATGTGACGGCAGATAAGAACCATTCGGCCCATCTAGTCTGCCCAATTTTCTAAATACTTTCATTAGTCCCTAGTCTTATCTTATAGTTAGGATAGCCTTATGCCTATCCCACGCATGCTTAAACTCCTTTACTGTGTTAACCTCTACCACTTCAGCTGGAAGGCTATTCCATGCATCCACTACCTCTCAGTAAAGTAATACTTCCTGATATTATTTTTAAACCTTTTGTCCCTCTAATTTAAGACTATGTCCTCTTGTTGTGGTAGTTTTTCTTCTTTTAAATATAGTCTCCTCCTTTACTGTGTTGATTCCCTTTATATATTTAAATGTTTCTATCATATCCCCCCTGTCTCGTCTTTCCTCCAAGCTATACATGTTAAGATCCTTTAACCTTTCCTGGTAAGTTATAGAAGGAGGGAGGGAATGACTAGTGACAGAGAGAGGGAGTGACTAGTGACAGAGGGAGGGAGGGGGTGACTGTCACTAGTCACCCCATCCCTCTCTCTGTCACTAGTCACTCCCTCCCT